TCTTTTATTTATTCATCTACTTGTCTATTTTCTTTATTTGTCTATTGATTTTTGTTTTCTTATTTATTCCTTCTTTACTTACCTACCAATCTATTTATTTGTTTATCAATGCATTTAACTTATTCATTCATTTATTTATTTGTTTGCTTATATCTTCATTCATCCTTTTTCATTCATGCTTTCCTTTTCTTTTCTTGTTTCGTTTTTCAATATTTTTGGTGTCCGTTTTTTTTTTTTTTTTTTTTTTTTTTTATAGTCTTCTTCATCTGCTTGTATATCCTACATAAATATCATTTATTTTTTATCTCTTCGTTTTTCTACCACTTCTTATTCTTTTACTTCTTATTATTATCGTTATTATTAATACTACCATTATACTACCATTATCATTATTATTATTTTCTTCATCATCATCATCATCATCATTATTTACATTATCATTATTATTATTATTATTATTATTATTATTATCATTATTATTATTATTATTATTATTATTGTTATTATCATTATTATTATTACTATTACTATTATTATTATTATTATTATTATCATTATAATTATTGTTATCATTATTACTATTATTATTATTGTTCTTGTATTATCATTATTACCATTATTTTTGATACTACCATCATTATAATCACTGTTATTATTACTATTATCAATATTATCATTATCATCACCATCGTCATTATTCATCAATAATATCGATATCTGCAATAATGAAATCTACTATTGCAAGTAATCATGAATATTGCAGTTTATTGTTGTTATTATTATTGTTGTTATTTTGTCATTGTCGATACCTTTATTATTATGATTATTATTATCTTTGTTATTGCTGCTATTGTCATTATCATCATTATTATTATTGTTATTACTGCTGTCGTTTTGTTGTTGTTGACATTGCTATCACCATCCTCACAGTCACCATGTCCGACAACAGAGGTTATTATTATTAGTAAATCCATTGCAATATCATGTATATGTACTCTCGACACGTATTTCATCTTAAGCTGTATGTCTTCAACACTCTCACTCCTACAATGTTTATCACCAACACGTACTAAAAACAAAAACAGATATGTTATTTCCATGGCCTTGCCTTCGCTCATTTGAGCATCAAACTATATACCGAAATGCTTACGTCATCATCTCATCAATCAGTCATTCGGGTGTTACGTCACATAGTAAATACGACGAACACATCTTGGTAAAATAATCAGCTCATTGTGTGTTATTGTATATGTGTTTAGATGTATAGAATATCAGTGCATACTGTATCTATTTCATGTACATACATAGATACGGAAGATATACACGCACACGGAAACACACACACACACACACACACACACACACACACACACACACACACACACACACACACACACACACACACACACACACACACACACACACACACACACACACACACACGCACGCACGCACGCGCACACACAAACAAGCAAACATAAATGCACTCGAAAATACAAACATGAACATGGAAATGCGCACGCGCGCAAGGAACACAGATATTACACACATCTCCGTAAATACACACACACACATGGAGGCAACCATGAACACACACATATACACTCATACATAAATACATTAAGTCAAACACCTTTCTGCTCATAGTTTTAAGGACGTTATAATTAAAGCTTCACCACAACACAACCTTGATGGCCGTTCTTCTCCGTCTGACCTGACTCCTCTCAGATTCCGCCAGAGGTCACATAAGCAAGGTCAAGACATTGCCCAACCGCCGTCTTAGAGGTCACAGTCATAGGGTCTAAGGAGATGGGATAATCTGGCTATCATTTTTAGGAATAATTATCTTGGGGGGAGAAGGAATCACCATAACGGGGTTGTTTATTCTTCACGGCGAGGGTCTCCATAAGGTGTTCATTATTCCGGGTTGGGTAATGGAGAATTCGTTTGTATATTTCCTTCCCTTTTTTCTTCTGTTCTTTTTTTTGTGTGTGTGTGTGGCGTTAGATGGTTGGTGATGAGAATGTGTTATATAGTTTCTTCTAATTTTCTTTTCGTTTTTCGTGTGTATAGCTTTAGTAGTTAGTAGTTGATGAATTTTGAATGACGTGGATATTTCTTGTATCAGCAACCTAACACTTTGCATAAAATAAAATGTATTACGTCCGTTTAATAGTTCAAAGGAATGTTTCGCATTAAATGCTATATTCACTAAACTTTTTTTTTGAGAAACCACTTAACATTCCCATGAAAATCAGATTCATAACCTTTTGAGAATATGCTAAATAGACATTTTTTTTATCAATATGCTTGTCAAAATAACCTACAATCCACATGAGTGATGATACAAATCTAGTCTAGAACACTGATATTTAAGCTCAATAAACTATTCTTTTTTTCTTAATCTTTCCTTCATTTTTAGTAGTAAATATGATAATTTATTTCCACGGGGAAGGATAACCGTGTTTTATCTTTCATTTCTGATCAAGTCGATAATGCTATGAATTTGTTCTTGGCGCCATTTGTGCATTGTATTTCTTTGCAAAACGTGTCTTTACAGTAGAAAATGTCTGCATGTCTGTGTATGTATGTGTATGTCTGTTTGATAGTATGTGTGTTTCTGCAAACGCACATAGAGAATATAAATGTAAGTGGATATATTGGATATGTAGATAAAGACTCATACGTACATACAAATTCACCCCCCCCACTAATGTGCACATATGCGTAATTATTTGTATTTGTCCTTGTTTGTTTTCGATTGTGTTTACCTTTCTATCTGGTTGTCTGTCTAGCTATTTTGTATATCTGTGTTTGCTTGTCTTCCTGCATGCATATATATAGATAAACAGTTAATGCTGCCATTCATACACAAACAAATCATACACACACAAAAAAACACACACGCACTCACACACTCATCCCTTCCCCCTCCCCCCCCTCTCTCTCTCTACGCCCAGATTCAACCTCGCCACCCCCCCCCCTCCAACACCCCAAGTCCCCCACTCCCCCACTACCCATTCACCCCACCCCCCCCACACTTATAATATCCCCCTCTCTCATCCCCACCGTCACCCTTACCCCTACCCACCCCCGCCTATACACAATTATCCACCACTCCCATTCCCCTACCCCTCCCCCCCACATACACACTCACGTCATATCCCCCCCACAAACTATTCCCACACCCAAAGCTACCCACATATCTACATGTCTATAAATATTTACCTTTTTTTTCTCTTCTCCCCCACATTCAAACGCACCCATGCCCACACACGGTCACTCACTGCCATTCTCACGCCCATAATTACACTATCACACACCTATTATTCACGCACGCCCACACTCACCTCTCTTCCCCTTCTTCCTTACCATACCCCTCCCACCCCCACGCACTCCCACCCCCCACACCACGCACTCTCCTCTTCCTACACCTCCTCCCCCTCTCCTCACCCCCCTACCTATATCCCGACTGGCCTTTCCCCTTTTCTTTCACCTCCCTCCCCCCTCCCCCACCCTCATCCTCCCCAACCCCTCCCCCCTTCACCTCCCTACCCCCTCCCTCTCCCCTCCCTTCTACCCCTACATCCTCCCCCTCCTTTCCCTCCCCCCTCCCCCTACCCCAACACCCTCTCCCCTCCCCTCTTCACCTCCCACGCCCCTACCCATACATCTTTCCCCATCCCTCCCCCCTCCCCCCTCCTAAGAAACCAACGGTCACGACGGATCCGCAGATGTTTTCTCCCCTCCCCGCGTAGAGACCGGGGCGCAGATGTTCTCTCCAAGCCTAGCGGTATCTGCGCCCATTCTCCTTCGCCTCCCCCTTCCCCCTCCCCTTCACCTCCCTCCCCTCCCCCTCCTTCCCATTCACCTCCCTCCCCTCCCCCTCCTTCCCATTCACCTCCCTCCCCTCCCCCTTCTCCCTCCCTTTCACTTCCTTTCCCCTCCCCCTTCCCCCTCCCTTTCACCTCCCTCCCCTCCCCCTTCCCCCTCCCCTTCACTTCCCTCCCCTCCCCCTTCCCTTCACTTCCCTCCCCTCCCCCTTCCCCCTCCCTTTCACCTCCCTCCCCTCCCCCTCCTTCCCATTCACCTCCCTCCCCTCCACCTTCCCCCTCCCCTTCACTTCCCTCCCTTCCCCCTCCCCTTCACCTCCCCCCCCTCCCCCTTCCCCCTCCCCTTCACCTCCCTCCCCTCCCCTTCACCTCCCTCCCCTCCCCCTTCCCCATCCCCTTCACTTCCCTCCCCTCCCCCTTCCCCCTCCCTTTCACCTCCCTCCCCTCCCCCTCCTTCCCATTCACCTCCCTCCCCTCCCCCTTCCCCCTCCCCTTCACCTCCCTCCCCTCCCCCTTCCCCCTCCCTTTCACCTCCCTCCCCTCCCCCTCCTTCCCATTCACCTCCCTCCCCTCCCCTTTCCCCTCCCCTTCACTTCCCTCCCCTCCCCCTTCCCCCTCCCTTTCACCTCCCTCCCCTCCCCCTCCTTCCCATTCACCTCCCTCCCCTCCCCCTTCCCCCTCCCCTTCACCTCCCTCCCCTTCCCCCTCCCTTTCACCTCCCTCCCCTCCCCCTCCTTCCCATTCACCTCCCTCCCCTCCCCCTTCCCCCTCCCCTTCACCTCCCTCCCCCTTCCCCCTCCCCTTCACCTCCCTCCCCCTTCCCCCTCCCCTTCACCTCCCTCCCCCTTCCCCCTCCCCTTCACCTCCCTCCCCTCCCCTTTCCCCCTCCCCTTCACCTCCCTCCCCTCCCCCTTCCCCCTCCCCTTCACTTCCCTCCCCTCCCCCTTCCCCCTCCCCTTCACCTCCCTCCCCCTTCCCCCTCCTCTTCACTTCCCTCCCCTCCCCCTTCTTCCGTCCCAACCCCTCCCTCCTCCCCTTTCCCTCCATCCCTCTATTTATCTACCTATCCATCCATTCAAAATACCCCCCTCCCCCCCACCCCCAACCTCACCTTAAAAAAAAAGAGAGAAAAACGGAATGCATAGGAATGAATTGAGATTCCAAGGATGTATCTTCAGTATATTTATCATATTTTGGATATTTTTAAAAACCCAGACACACAGACAAAAAAAAAGAAGACAAATACAGTGAGATCTCGTTTGACATGAAAAAAAACACTCACTTCTACTGAATCAAATCGAATTGCATAAAGTGACACAAACTTAAAAAAATATGAAATATAAAATGACATTTTTCCCCAATGAAAATTTTCCCCATTTTTTGTAACATGGTTTTAGTGAAATACATGTTTTATCTACAAATCCATCAGGACAAAAAACAAACAAAAAAATATTTGGAATATATGAATAAAATGTCCCATTAAGCTCAAACCGAAATAGTCAAAACAGAAATTTAAATTATCATAAAAATGCTTAAGACACTATAATTTAGCTTCTACTTTGGCCTCGAAATCATTATTAAATTCAAATTACATGTACTGAATATCATTCTTCCTTCATTTACGAAAGAAGGGAGAAAAGAAGACAAAAAATAAAAGAATACATATATATATCTGGAAAAAAATAACTTCTACACTATCATAAATAAACGAATAAAAGAATAGGTAATTGTATAGATGAATAAACGAGTGAATTGCTGTATAAACAGAAATAAGTAGGAATGAAAGATAACCTACATGCAGATAGAATCTCTAAAATAAGCAAAAATACATAAAACTATAATGATAAATAAGGAATAAAGAAAAAAACATAGAAACTCCTTATATAAAAACGTACAGAAAAAAATACAAACTCTTTATAAATATATAAACAAAATCTTTATAACAAAAAGAGATAAACAAAAAACTCACAACACATAACACAAAACTCTTTTTCATCTTTTTTTTTCTAACTAAACAATAACCTCGCAAGACGCCAACCTCACCAAAAAATATCACCACAAGACACACTTTCTCTCAGGGTTAAAAGTGGTATTAGCAGTGCATCCGAAGGCGTGGGAAAACTCCTGTAGGTTCTGAAGCACGCCCTTGATCCTGAAGGCGCCGGGGATGTGGACGTCCGTCGACAGGAGGAACTTCAGGGACCAGGGGGTGAATTGGCTGCACCAGAGCTAGGGGGGGGGGAGAAGGGAGAGAGAGGGGGGTTAGGGGGTGTGATACAGGGAGGGAGATGGGGTAGGGAGAGAGAAGGGGAGAAGGAGAGAGGGGGAGAAAGAGAGAGGTGGAAAGAGAGAGAGAGAGAGAGAGAGAGAGAGAGAGAGAGAGAGAGAGAGAGAGAGAGAGAGAGAGAGAGAGAGAGAAGGAGGGAGGGAGGGAGGGAAGGAGAGAGAGAGAGAGAGAGAGAGAGAGAGAGAGAGAGAGAGAGAGAGAGAGAGAGAGAGAGAGAGAGAGAGAGAGAGAGAGAGAGAGGAGAGAGAGAGGAGAGAGAGAGAAAGCGAGAGAGAGAGAGAGAGAGAGAGAGAGAGAGAGAGAGAGAACGAAAGAGAGAGAGAAAGCGAGAGAGAGAGAGAGAGAGAGAACGAAAGAGAGAGAGAGAGAGAGAGAGAGAGAGAGGGAGAGAGCAGATAACAGATGAGTCAATAAACAGACAAACAAGCAGTTAAATAAACAGATGGACAGAGAAAAAAAAGATGTAAAAATACGCGAAGGCAACGATGTCATCCTAAGTATTTACAAATCATTCTCATTTACATCAACCAAGAGGCTTACTTACATCATCACCCTAAACTCATACACGCACGCACATACGCACACTCTCACACACTCACACACGCACATTCTCACACACGCACACACGCACACTCTCACACACGCACACACTTACACACTCACACACTCACACACACAAACATACATCTGCGTGTGTGTTTCTTTCTTTCTCTATTTTTATTTTACTTACACCCAAAATAAGAATAAAAAAAGACGCCCGCGAATCACCCCCACACGCCCGCAACTCCTCCCACGCCCGCGAATCCCCCCCACATGCCCACGCCCGCGAATCCTCCCCACATGCCCACGCCCGCGAATCCCCCCCCCCCCGCAAATTCCCCCCACGCCCACGAATCTTCCCCCCCCCCACGCTCGCGAGTCCTCCCATCCTCCCACGCCCGTGAGTCCCCCACGCCCACGAATCCTCCCACCCCCACGCCCACGAATGCTCCCCACGCCCACCTGGCCGAAGGATATGAAGAACAGCTGATCCTGCGTGTATCCCTCGAGCCCTGGGAGGCGAAGCTGATCGCCGGAGGCCTCGACGCGTCTCCTGTAGGCCAGCCACGCCGCCTTCGTGCCTGCGGGAGGGAGGGGGGGAGGGTTAAGGACAGTGAGGGAAGGGGGGGTTAAAACGTATGTGTATGCATTTATATATGTGTGTGTGTGTGTGTGTGTGTGTGTGTGTGTGTGTGTGTGTGTGTGTGTGTGTGTGTGTGTGTGTGTGTGTGTGTGTGTGTGTGTGTGTGTGCGCGCATAAATATGTATGTATATATATGTATATATATATATATATATATATATATATATATATATATATATATATATATATATATATATATATATACATATGATTCTTTTAATCACCATTATTATTATCATTAGTGTTTTCTATTTTTTTCTTACTCTATTTCATTTTCTATCACTTTGAGGGTATAGTCAAAGTACTTATAATTTTGCAATTACTGATGTTATTATTCTTACATCTATGTTTATTGATTTTTCTTTTCTTATACATAACGAAAAAGTGAGACAACTTCGATTAACGTAAATGAAAACACTAAATCTTTTAAAATCAATCCATGCAAAAAAACTTCCCTGAGAATCGAAATACATTAGAAATATATCTAACAAAGAAAGAAAATAAAACAAAACGAAACAAAACAAAAGCAAAAAAACACCGAAAACTCCCATTGGAAAATAAAAACGAA